CCTCAAAGGAACATGTTTCAGACAGACTTGATACGCTTCCGAAGTCAGTTTATCTATTCCTTCTGTAGGACTTGTATTACTTAGAACAGTTTCCCATGGAATGTTTGTAAGTTCCCTGTTTATTATCTCCCAGTCTATCCTTTTATTATTAAAATTGAATTTACTGAATAGCCCCTCTCGCTTTATCAACGTTTTAAGTCTATTCTGAGTATTGATGGTCGTTTGCACTTCAATGAGCTTGTGATCTGAATATGTGGTATCTGATATCGTAATGTCTCTGATAATGTCTTCATTATTCGTAAAGACCAGATCTAAAATATTTTCATGTCTCGTTGGCTCCGATATCTGCTGATTGAGTGAAAATTTGTCACAGAATATAAGTAGTTCGCTAATCTGTGGTTGGTTAGGTCCTGATAGATATCCTGGTATAATAATATTGTTGGCTATTCTCCACCTGAGACTAGATAAGTTGAAGTCACCTAGGAAGATAATATCAGGTATCGGGTTCTCCAAATTATCAAGGCTATTCTCTTATTTTGTTTATCTGTTCTGTGAATTCCTCAGCCGTTGCATCTGGCAGTTTGTATATTAGAATAATCACTAAATTTATTTTCTCTATTTTTAATCCCAGTACCTCTACCACCTCATTTGTAACGTTTAGGAGCTCCGAGCATACAAGGTCTTCCCTAATATACAGACCCACTCCTCCATGTGACCTAATTTTCCTTTCACACCTGTAAAGGTTATATCCTGGAATCCAGATCTCACTGTCCAACAATTCCCCTGCATGGGTTTCTGTGAAAGCTCCAAATACTGCATTTGACTCCATGAGGAGGCCATTTATGAACTGTACTTTGTTGTGTGTTCTTGTTTTCAGTCCTTGTGTGTTGGCAAAGACGAATGAGGTTACTCTATTAGTGATAGTTTGAACCCTCCATGCTGTTCTTCTCTACATGTATAATGTCTCTCTCACACTCCTCTTTTTCATGACACCTTAGTAGGTGCTGCTGTCTGCTCTGTCTCCAGCTATGCCTCCCATGGCATACAGGAATGTGTTCCTTGGTGGAATTCAGATTGTGCTTGGGCTGTATGCTGTAAGCATGTAGCCTGGAAGAGGCACTGTTGCTGGAATACCTCTGAAACTTTGATTCTGTTTTAGAAGGCTAGTGCAGTGGCCAGTGGGGGACCATCAGTACAGATAAACATGAGAGTTGGAGATCCTGTGTCTCCACATTACTGTTGACCCCTTTCCCTCATATCTGTAAGATTGTGGGAAAATTTATTCCAGACTTAATACTTGTCCTTCATTTTCGTGGCGCTGTTGTAGCAGATCTGGTGTGGGTCGTGAACCAATTGGGTTCGCACTTTTCAGCCATTAAATCTAGTTTATCTTCCTCCTCTTTTCTTTACTCATAAGCCCCTTCTTGAATCTCTCCCCTTAAACTTTCAATCTCACCACAACCCCTCTTATATAGATTCCCTATAATCTTTTCACCCTTTTAAACTCCAGAATGCCTAATCCCTCTAATTCTATGGTGGCAGGCTTGGACTTTATATTTACTATGAAATGCTCTGTGATCTCTCTCTGCTCTTTGCAGCATTTGCTGCATATGTATTGGTATGATCATATTTGGGAGTCTATTTCGGTTCCTAGTAACTGGCTCGAAGCAATTATTCTTTCCATTAGAAAACCTGGAACTCAAGGGACTTACCCTGTGAATTTTCATCCCATTTCCTTGATAAATTGTCTGCAAATTCTTTGAGCATATGATTAATGTTCCTGGAACACCATTGCTACTTCTCCCGCTCCCAATTGGGTTTTCGCAAGTGTCAGAGCGCGATGGTTATTTTGGTTGACTTGGAAGCCTGCATTCATTACTGCCTTTGCTAAAAGTTCCTTCACTGTTGCATTTCTTTTTTGACCTGGAGAAGGCTTATGACACCACCTGGAGATTAAAATATTTTAGCCCAACTACATTCTGTTGGCCTTTGTGGCAATCTACCACTTTCCCTTCAAATCTTCCAGTCTTGTCGCTCTTTGGTTGCCCTGAATGGTCTTCCTTCCTCCCTTTCCCCATGGCATTTTCTCAGCCCTTTATGATGACAATCTCGCCCTCTGCTATCTTTGTGACGATTCCTCTTCCCTCCACTGTCAGCTGCGGCTCGTGATCAGTAGTGTGTTGTCCTCACGCCATCAATCATGGCTTAAAGTTTTCTCAACCCGTTCTCGCAAATTTAATAAGTCAATATTGACTTATTAAATATGTGCATAGGTGACATACTTAACATAATACCCTTAAAAAGATTCATAGAAAACACCGACCTTACCTAACCTTGTTAGTATCTTAAGATAAGCATCTTATTGTTTCGTAATTACAATTATTACCTAACCTATAATAGGTATAGGTTAAGAAATAATTGTAATTACGAAGCAATAAGATGCTTATCTTAAGATACTAACAAGGTTAGGTAAGGTCGGTGTTTTCTATGAATCTTTTCAAGGTTATCTATTATGTTTAGTATATCACCTATGCACGTAGTTAATAAGTCAATATTGACTTTACGAATTTGCGAGAACGGGTTGAGTTTTCTACAGCTGAGACTTGTGCTATGAGTTACTTGGAATCATATCATCCCCTGTTGTCACTCTATGGTAATACCCTCTCATTTAGTGATACTGCCAAAATCTTGGGGTTGTTTATTTACTTTTGTTTGTCTTGGTTACCCCATGTCACTCACCACTCAATTGAGTGCTCTAAGGCCTTTACCTTACTGTTAATCTTGTCTCATACTTCTTGGGGCTGAAAGATGTGCACTCCTCTTTCTCCTGTCTAAACTTGATTATGGCCGCTCCACATCTTCCTCGGCCTCTTCCAAGACCGTTTTCATTTTGATGCTCTTCACCATACTGGGTTACTCCTCAGCTCTGGTGCCTTTCATGTATCCCAGCCCAGAGCATGTATGTTGAAACCGGCATCCTATCTCTACAAGGTCATCATGGTTCATGGTTTATTAAAGAGGTGGCCAAGACAAGTACAGATATAAATATCCTGAAAAAAATGGAGAATATTTGCAAATTCTATGCACAAGGAATATGCAAATATGGGAAATTAGGCACAAAATGCACTTTTCTGCATCCTCGAGAATGTAGGAAGATGTTGGTGAGAGGTAAATGTCGTCTTGGAATGGAGTACACATACTTCCACCCCTAAACTATGTAAATTTTTAATTAGTGACAAATAATGTTACAATCTTCAGTGCCCGGAATTCCACACGAGAGGTACTCAGCGTTATAGACAAGAAAATCAATATGATACTACTGAAATTTTTTTTTAGAGGAAGGCATAAGCAGAGTAGAACATATAAGAGAAGGGAACAGGCAGATCGAACCACTGCAGGATTACAGAGGGGAGGGAGATATCCACAAGACTGGAATACAAGTCATCATCAAGCATACAGGTACTACACCACACAACACCCGTACTACTGCCAAAACTGGACGAACCACTACCAAAACAACACACCCTAGACCAGGGTGGAGAGGGGGGGAGAACTACCAAAGCCCACCAGAAGTGACACGCAATATGGAAAATCATTCATATTTGCAAACATACAAGGCCTAAAATCAAAATCAAGAAATAGTTAATTTCATAAATGGCCTCCTAATAGAATCGAACTCGATATTTAGTGCATTTACAGAAACCCACATGAAAGACTACATGGATAGTGAAATCTGGATCCCAAATTATAATCTATATACAGTAGATGTGACTGAGTAATTAGGTCAAGTGGAGGAGTAGGTTTGTATATTAAAGAGGAACTGGCATGCACAGCGGCCTGAACTCGACCGATGAGATGGTAGTCACTTGGAATCAAGGTAGAAAATATAAATCTAATTATTATTCTAATATACAAACTGCTCCAAGCAACAGTTTTTTGGACCAAGTTATCACAAGTCATGCCTGGCCTGAGGCCGGGCTCAGGGAGTAGTAGAACTCCCAGAACCCTGTCCCAGGTATGCCCTAGGTATCCCTGGCCCTGATCCACTTGGTGAAGGCTTATACTCCCCCCTCACTGTTTTGAAAATACTTTTCATTTAATATTTTTCCTCTCACACTAAATTTCTCTGTTCATTGATGTGGGTCTAACTGCCGACAGTGTTGGTGTCTCCGTTGCTTTTCCTAGTCTAACCTATATGAGCCGCCTGCCTCTGGTGACTAGCACCTTCATGGCAGAACTTTATGCAACTTTGTATGCTCTTCATCAGCTGCTTTCTCTGCATCAACATTTCTTTGTCATTGTGGCTAACTTTCACAGTGCCTTCATGGCTCTGGAGTCTTTTAACACTTTTCATCCTGTGGTGGTTGAAATCCAATACAGGCTGTTTTTTTTATCTCTAGCTGATATAAGACAGTCGACTTTTGCTGGGTTTCCAGCCATGTTGGAGTTACCTTGAATGAGCTTGCGGATGCTGCTATTTGCAGGCTGTTCATACTTGCAATACCCCCTCCTCTCCCTTGGCCTTCCTACCACTGTAATAAGCAATGGGAGGTGGCTTTGGCTAGATTGTGTATTGATCACATCCACTTAATGGAACAACATCCCGCTCCCTTTTCTCCATATTGCATTGTCCCACTTAGTCATGTCTCTCCTTGTTGGATACCCTGATTTTCAGGATGATTTTGTGTTGGTTTCCTATTGTCTGAAGGGGTCATTTGTCCCAAGAAATATTCTTTGGCAAATCTGATAACTTTGGTATCTCTCACCTTATGTCCTGTTCTCATACTGGCATTTTGAGTGATATTTAGCCCATTTTGAATATGTAGAGAGACAGATGTGCTGTGTGGTTTTCCTGGATTGTTGCCTACTTTTAATTATAATAATTACATACTTTATTAATTAATTTATGAAATTATTGATAAAAACCTTAACTAAATCTTTTATACATCATAGAGTGTATTAAATCATGTAACTTATCTGATTCATTTGTTTCTTTTCAGTTTGTGGAAATAGGTATTGTAACGTCTTTGGAATTTGATCATAAAAGTGTTGACAAGGCAAAGAAAGGTGTAGATGTATGCATCAAGATTGAACCTGTGCCAGGTCATACACCAAAGCTATTTGGTCGACACTTTGAAGCTGAAGACATTTTGGTTAGCAAGATTTCCCGTGAGTCAATTAATGCATGTAAAGACCATTTTAGAGATGATTTGTCTAAGACTGACTGGAAACTAATGGCCGAGTTGAAAAAAGAATTTGAGATTCTTTAAGCATTTTGTAATATAGTGGGAACTTCATTAATGCCATAATGATATACATATTCCAATATTTTTATTTTATATGGTCTTATGGTTTAAAGTGAGTGTTCTCACAAGTAAATACAATACTGTAACCAGTATCAAAGTTTGTTAAAGATTTTCATTTGTGTATAGGAGGTTATTAATCATCATGCGAGCTGAACAGCTTGCTTTATGTAATAACAGGTTTTATAGAATAATCAAATAAATTTTTTATGTGAAAATTAAGTCTTTATGCTCTAGTAATTTGGATTTTATATTTTATAATATGGGGAAACATTGCAATGATACCTTCAGAGCCACACTACCTTTGTTCTTAAGTGAGGTCAAGAAAAATAATGTGGATCCAATTACTTGTTTAAACTATTTTTTTAAATCTTTTTTGGATTTATTTAAAAAGAAGGCTGTGTTTTGTGTCTTAGTATAAAGCATTTTCTTGCATTCCTCCTATCTTTATTTATGGATGTATGCATCCACTAATTTATACTTATTTACAAACATGAATTGGCAAAATAAATCTTGAGCGAGTGACATTCGCAATATTTCTGATACCTCATTTCTTTGCGAGCTTTGCTTCCTTGAATTGTTATATGATGAACATTTTAAAAATAAGAATTCTACTGTAGTCTTGAAAAGAAGCTTGGAGTATTTTACTTTTATGCAATCCACTTGCTTGTCTGGATAATCAGGTAAGTGAAAGTTGCCAGTTGTTTATGTAGGCTGATTAAAAAGGGCATGGGAAGTAAAGGATAATTGGAATAAGTCCCTCAAAGAAAAAAAAATACTTAAATGTAAAACAGCTGTAATGGGAATGTGGAGAACATGTAGCAGTCCACCAAATGGTGTTTTACAAGTGCAACCAATAAATTCCCTAGTTTGTTTATTGAAATTTAGTTTAATCTTTGTTAGTTAAGTGTTCCATCTCTACTACATTTCAATGAATATAAATGTCAAGGATTAGAACAAAAATTAATTAAATATATTTATTGTGATTAATGTTTTTACATTTGTAAAATGTAAACACATTTGAAGTGTTAAATCTGGAACTGTGATAGGGTAAGGTATTTGCATTTTAAAAGCTAAATTTGGATGAAAAGTGACATGGAACCACATTATATTTTCAATGACTTTAAGCACTACAAACTTTTTTTTTAATTGTGTTACAATCTGATTGTTGAGAATCAATAGAGGAATTTTTATAGCATTGTCTTTTTCAAAACTTAATAAGAAATTATTAGTATACCTTATTTAAATTAAAATTTACAGTTTTTCATTGACCAGAATAATCAAAAGAACAATTATAAATATTTGGAATACAATATTTTATTTACATATTAATATATAGAATTTTTGTGAAATTTATATTTAATTTGTCAAGTGATAAATTAATAAATTTGCAGTCGGTCAAAATCCATAAGACAAAGATTAAATTTCTTGGGTACAGCAAGGGTTAGCAGACTGGTACAGTATATGCACTGGTATGCATGGATTGATCAATTTTCTGTGGCCAAGAACTTTGATTAAACTTCATGAAGTATCATATAAGGCAAATTGTTTAAAAAAAGAAAGTTAATTTTCTGCTTATATACATAACTATCTTATTTTAAAGTTAATACATTTTTTTGTGGGGAGCCCCTTCAACTTTCTGGAGCTATTGGGCTAATATGCAATTCATTAGACCAGGGCATTAGTTATAGGAGTTCAGCCTACCGGGGACCACGAGCCAGAACCTTGCTCCCTCAGAGAGGAATAGGGAGCAATTGCCCTGGAAAATCCCCTTTGTAGTTGGGGGTTTTCCTAATCTGCCATTGACCGGGATTAGGCATCCAGAAGGTAGGTCTAACAAAACAGACCCCACATGGTAAGAAAATTGCAACCGAAAACAGAACTGAGGCAGAACTCTATCCAATCCCAAGGAAACGAGCAAACAGGCAAACGTCACACCCCATTGCTGTGCCGCTCGTCTGCGCAGCAAACCCCCCGCCCTCCAGAGGGAAAAGCCCCGGACCCCGGAAAGCGCCTGCGACCCCATGAATTCTAGGGTGGGAGTCATCTCTGGCCTCGATTTCCTATGCAGTGTCTTTCCTTAGTAGTGTCCTCTGCTGTTCGTAGAGTGGTGGCCAGGTGTACATGAAATGTAACAGGGCTGCATGCACTTTGGACAGCCTTCCCTAAGTGCCCTGTAAGTATTACCCTTGCGTGTTGGGGTTATCTTCCATGGTGCATTCGGGATGCCATTTCCATAGGGGGTTCTTGCTGCTCTGCATCTACCCTGCCTTTGTGGCCAGCTGGGGTTTCGTGGCCCTTGTTTGGCCTTGGATAGGGAGTGGTATTGTTGCTGGTTGGGGCGTCAAGGTGTTGCGCAGCCAGCTTACTTGTGCAGCATCCATCTCCTGTTTCCTCTGGAGACAGTGGTACAATGGAGACATTGTACTTTTGCTGGGTTTTTCTTTTCTTTTTGTTTGGGTTGCCTGGTGGGGGTCTGCCTGGTATGGCTATTGGACCACTTATAATCATTTGATGTCCCTCCACTATGCCCCCATGATTGTGCACATCGCAGGGGTTTCAGTGTTTGATCTCCTTGTTAGATTTGGGTCTAAATGATTAGCAACACCTTGCCCGTGCTTCCCGTAGCAGTCAGCCTACAGGCCCTGGAAAACCCTATCGGGACTCGTTGGACCTACGAATGCGTCTTCAGAGTTCCAGCTCGCCTTGTGCAAGTTTGAAGGTTGCTGTGTGCCCATGTCTCAGTGTGACAGTCACCGCTTTTCCCTCCATCATGCTGCCTGTTGACCCGGTGTTGGCACCTATGACCCAGAGTCTTGCGAGTCGTATTCTCTGCATGTTCTCCAGTTTACCCATTCTGATAACATTGATATTCAGGTACAGGCGGCATCCATGTAGCATGATAGGTTTAGGTTGCTGCAACACGCTAGATTGGTCACCGCCCCGGATGCCCTGAGACTGCCTTGTTTTGGTTATAGGGACCCAGACCTGGGGGGGGGGGCGTTAGTCTCTACGACTTTGGTTCAATCAGCACTCCCTGGTCCTTCCCTTGTTGTTCACCCTGCTCCCCACCTCCTTCCCTCCTCCCCCCATGCTTCTGGCTCCCAAACGTCTGAGGGCTTCGGAGTCGGAACAGGGTTTAGTTGGTAATGAGACTGGCAGCTTCGGGGGCTGTCCCGTTTAGGTTCGGGACAGAGGCATTCAAGCCAGTTCCTCCTGCCGAAGCTTCTGGGTCCCACCAGCAGCCTCCCCTTCTTTCTTTTCTGCCTTTTCTTCAAGGGTAGAGGGTATGGAGGACTGCCCTGGGTCCCAATTTGGGGGATCCTGGGGCTGGAGAGTAGTTGACCTGGGGGGCTTGGGCCTACTTTAACCCCGCTGGGGTGTTAGTGCCCTAACACCTTGTTTTGGTTGTAGGGACCCAGACCTGGGGGCGTTAGTCGCTACGACTTTGGTTCAATCAGCACTCCCTGGTCTTTCCCTCAGTCGATTAAGTTCGATTCCTCGTCACGGCCCTTGTGGATTTGTTCATTTGTTAGTGTCCTCTTTGCGGGGCTTATTGTTGCAGGGGGGAGCAGTTTTCTTAAACCCCCCCTCCCCCCTTTGCCTGTATGAGTATGATTTGGGGTCGGCTTCTCCCCATGTTCAATTCCGGGTGCCCTTGGGTTCTCCGGATCCTTCCTTCCTGAGGTATTCTGCTTCAGGGATCGTACCTAAGTAGGTTCAGGAAGCGCTTGCTGCGTACCTCCAGCGAGACCAGGATTCTGTGTCTGTCATGGATCCATCCTCGTTTGAGTTCAATTCTTCCCAGTATTTGGTGCGTTTGGAGGTGTCAGAGTCTTCCTGGCTGGCAGACTGTCCATTCTTTTCACTGGGGGCATGGCATGGGTTCTGTTGGACCCGCTCGCTTGAATGGCGAGAAACTTCTACCTTTCTGCAAATTTATCTAGGGGGCAGTCTTGAGTGCCTTGATACATGCATGTTCGCTCCTATGCTTCCTCAGGATGTTGGACTTGTGCATCTGCACATGCTGGTTCCCACCCTTTCGGCATATTTGGTAGCTGAGGACTTGCGCGCCCAGGGGCATTTGGTTTCGGTCTTGCACTTCTTTACCCTTCTCGAGCTGCCCTCAGACTGGCTTGAGGAGGATGTGGGGGCATTGGGTGCTGGGCATTCATCTGCTGCGCTGGCCTCAGCGGCTAGGGCATCGACCACTGTTGAAGTTGTTTGTGCTGATTCTCAAGGAGATGGTGTCTCTGTTCTTTGACTCTTGCCTCGTGTGCTGGTAGGCTATCATTGCTCTCTTTGGAATTCACTTGGGCCCTGGCTCTTAGGTTTTCATTGCCTTTTTGTCCATTGCTGTTTGCGAAGACTGCTGTCACACAGTTTCTGCAGGCGGCTTCGTCTAGTTGTTGTCCAATGTCGAACTTTTTGGTTCTCAGGAGTGGCCATTCTTGACCTTCTCGGAAGGGTGGTGCCAGGGCTTGGGGTGGGCCACTGGTTCTAGTTTTTGAGCCGGTGCTTCCTTCGGAGTCGGTGTTGTCTGATCAGCGCGGTGCTCGTTCTGCTCGCAAGTCAATTTCCTGCTTTTTTTTTTTAATTTTTTATTTTATTTACAATTTTTTTTTTCTTAGAGTGAGCTGGTCGATGGCCAGCCAGTCCCCTCACAGGTCGCCATGTTAATGGGGTGATGGGGAGGAAGCTTGCTCTGTTTGCTCACAACTGGTCCCACGATTAGTGGGAATTTCGGGTCATATCCTCCGGCCTGTGGTAGCATTGAGAGGAGACTCCTCCTTCAGGGGGTTCGGGGCTGGCGGGGCAGGCTTCTTTCCCTGTGCTCTGTCTGGTCATCTCGAAGTGGGATTCGCTTGGGTGTGGTCGAAAAGACCCTGTCTCTCAGGTGGGTTTCCCACCTGTTTCCAGTGCCAAAATGAGACTGTGCAGATCTGAGGTTCATTATAGACTTGTCCCGTCTGAACCCCTGGATTCCTTGCCCCCTCCTTTCGGATGACTACTTTGTCTCAAGTCCGGCTTCTGTGGGAGCAGGGTGCCTGGATGGTGTCCCTGGACCTCAGGTATGCGTATTGGCACGTTCCCATTCATCCAGAGTTTAAGGACTAGTTAGGTTTTGTGGTGGGGTGTCGGGCTTACCGCTTTCGTTGTCTACCTTATGGTTTGAATCTAGCACCTCTCATGCTCTGCGTCTGCTAGGTGTTCGGGTTTATCTCAACGACTGGCTGGTGTGGGCTCCTAGTAGGTTCGCTTGTCTGCTCGCCAGGGGTGTGGTTCCTTCCCAGCTCGCCGGATTCGGGTTTCTGGTGAACTGGAGGAAGTCTCCTCTGGCTCCGTCCCAGGTTCGGACCTGGCTGGGTCTTGTTTGGGATTCTCGGACCACTTCCATGTCTCTCCGTCTGGAGGCATTATTGTGGCTGTGGTCCCACCTTCAGCTGTTTCTGGGGGGTTCCTGGGTCACTCGGCAGTTGCTCGAGCAGTTGTGCAGGAGTCTGAATTTCACTGTGCTGGTTTACACGCTGGGTCAGGTTTGGCTTCGGCGTCTGTTCTGGTACCTTCCGGGACACCCCTTCCGCCTCTCTCGCGATTGCTGGGTTCGACCTCCAGAGGCCTTGCGTCGCCGGCTTCCTCTTCGGATTTTTTTTTAGAGTTCATTGCCTTGGCGCGCCTACCCTACCCCACCCCTCGCTCAATGTGTTCACAGATGTGTCATTTCTCGGCTGGGGGGTTTGTGACCAGTACTCACCAGGTCAGCCAGGGGAGGTGGGGTCTGTCCTTCTGTCGGGCTCACAGCACAGTGCGGGAGTTTGCTTCGGAGGGTTCGGATTGCTTGGGGTTCGTCGACCGTTCGGCTCCATTCGGACCATTTTACGGGGGTTCTCTTTGGGGCTGGTCACTTCGAGTGGCTTGTCTGCTGGTTTCTCGGGGTTTGGCTCTGTGCAGTTAATATCAGGGGAGTGTCTAATTTCCTGGTGGATGGCCTGTCTCGGTTCATTCCCAGTGTCCACGAAATGGACTGTCAACGCCGACTCCTTCAGTTGGCTCTGCCAGACATACTGGCTCCCAAAGGTGTACCTCTTCACGTTAGTTTGGTTGAGGCATCTCCCGATATATGTGGTGCTCTTCCCCGACCAGGGAGCTTTTGCAATGACCGCTTTTCGGCAGGACTGGTTGAGGTGAGGTTACCTGCACCTCTTTTCCCCAGTCCAGCTGTTGCTTCGGGTTCTGGCTCAGTTGGAGTCTTACCATCAGTAGTCCTTTTGCCCCCTTGCTAGCCGGCCCAGCCTTGGTTTCAGGTGCTGCTTGCTCAGTGTCCGAACCCAGGGCGTTTTCTTCGGCTCCGAGTCTTCCAGCAGATCAGACCTGTCTAGTACACGACTGGTTCGGTCTTCTCCTCCGATCTTCACGTCTGGTCTTTTTGATGCTGGTTTATTGCCATTTGTATTGTGATCAGGTGGCTTTGTTGGTGGTGTACCACCTTAGAGCTTCGTCTCGGCAACAGGTTGAAGTTTCCTGGCATTCTTTCCATCGTTTTCTCTCTCTTCGTTGGTTGTCTTCTATTTCTGATCGGGTTGTCTTGTCCTTTCTGTCTTTCCTTGACATGGACCATCATTTAATGCCTAATACTGTTGCCTCGTATCGCGCGGTGCTGGCGGTGCCGCTGCTGTTTGCATTCGGGGTGGAGAAAACCAGCGTTGAATGTAATGAAATGCCATTTTCTGGGTGAGCCCTAGAGGCTCCCTGGTACCCTCCCTCCCTCTGATCAGCGGCTTTCACGTTGTTTTGATACGTAGCCTCCGAACTGGAATGGCTGGGTCGCTGGCATGGGGGTGTCCGGGAGAGGAAGGGGGTGTTGTGTGGACAGCACTGCGATGGTGGGATGTGACGTTTGTCTGTTTCCTTGGGATTGGAGGGAGTTCTGCCTCTCTGTTCAGGTTTCGGTTGCAATTTGTTTACCATGTGGGGTCTGTTTTATTATGTCAACCTTTCTGGGTGCCTAACCCCAGTCAATGGCAGATAAGGAAAACTCCCAACCACAAGGGGGTTTTCCAGAGCCATTGCTCCCTGTGCCTCTCTGAGGGGGCCAGCTTCTGGCTCATGGTCCCTGGTAGGCTGAACTTCTATGACTAATGTCCTGATCTAATGAATTGCATATTAGCCCGATAGCTCCAGGGAGCTTCCGGGGCTCACCCAGAAAATGGCTATTCATTACATTTAACGCTGTTTTTTCATCACACGAGAATGAATTGTAAGTTTTTAACAATTTCCAACCAGAGCAGCAAATATTTTTTTGCTTTTACCAGCTATGAGAACATCAATTGAAGAAGTAAGGGGTTTACTTGTCATTTAAACTTGAAATTTGTTTGAACTTGACATGGTTGCACCACTTAGTGGTCAGGCACATTTCCTACTTTCAGATTAAACTGTTCCATTATAGTATTGGTAGTTTCCCGTTTGTCTATCATCTTTGTTTTCTTTCCTTGTGCTCTATTTTTGTCTGCCCTAACTACTTTCCCAGTTTTGTCTTAATGACAATTTCTATTAGTTTTTGTAAACATTGTTATCCAAGTGACATGTGCTTCATATATGTATCAGCATAAGTAACTTGTAAACAAAATTTAAAAGTTATTTGTGTGTGCATTAACCTTTAGTGCTGAAGGTGTGGAATGGTCTGATATCTGATGTGCTCAATGGTTGTGTGTGTGTAATATCTTTTTAATGGTAGGTAGTCTCCAGGGAAATTAGACAGATGTAAATATTATAATTAAATTATACAATTGTTGATGGAAACTTTCATTGCTAACATTCTTAAAAATTATAAGTTTTGACTGATAGAATTATTTATGGAAAATTTAAATTACTGTACATTAAAATAGAAAAATTTTGCAATCATTTTTTTTCTTAAATTATTCTTCTATGTAAATAACTTTTATTATACACAGAGTCGTGTTTAACCCTCAAACCACTAAGGACTTTTTGGCCTGCAACACCATCAGGCGCAAAAAAAAAAAAAAAAAAAATTGTAAGTGTTCATTTGTGTTCCCTGATCATGGTAAAAAAAAAATTGTAGGTGGTATATTTTGGCTGCATGGGGCGGGGATGTCTGGCAAAAAGGAGGCATTGACACAGCATGCGTCGGAGGCGGTCTGCTTCACCCCAGCTGTCAGGTGGGAGTTGTCACAAAGATGATATTACCTAATTATTTCAATGTGTCTGATTTTTTCTTACCTTTTTTGCAGTAATATTATTCACTAGTGTGTAGTGTGATATATTTATACAATAAAATGTGTGAATCATCGCTATACTCAAAATTATGGTGCGCATATTAGTAAGTAATTATCAAAAGAAGGCACCAAACCGGGAAGGCTATGTAGCACCATCAAATACGCAAAAATAATCAGAGGGCGCTAAATATCACCAAGGATGCCAATACGAGAACAAAAACGCATAAGGCGAACGATATCAAAAGTATCCGAGTCACCAAGAATTCTATCGAGGGACAGGTGACCGCGAGGGGCGGTCGGAAAGCAAGACACACGCTCGTCCTGGAAGTCAGGACATTCAAGAAGGACATGCACGACCGTAAGAGGGACAATGCAACTAGGACAATAAGGAGCAGGGCGGCGCTCCATCAAGTGACCATGGGTTAAGCGAGTATGGCCAATATGCAACCTCGCCAGAGCTGTTTCCCACCGCCGGTTACGGTGGAAGGAGGTCTGCCACGAGGAAACACAACATTTAAGAGTACGTAGCTTGTTACCAGTAACAGACAACCAAGAAGCCTGCCAACGGGTAAGGACTGAGGAATGGATAACCGGGTAAAAGTCAGAATACGGAATGCCTTTACGAGAGATGGGACAAGAGCGGACAGCTCCCTTGGCGGCAGCATCCGCACGTTCATTTAAAGACACACCAATATGGCTGGGAACCCAACAAAACTCAACCGACTTAAATTTACTGTGAACGAGAAACAGCCAATGCTGGATCTCGACAACTACTGGATGAACCGGATTAAAGGACCCGAGAGCCATGAGGGCACTACGAGAGTCAACAACAACTACAAAGGAAGACTGACAACAAGAAAGCAGGAGACGAAGAGCATAGAGAATAGCATAAAGTTCCGCTGTAAAGATGCTAGTCCCCGGAGGCAAGCGACACATATAAGTGCGATCAGGAAAAACAACAGAGTAGCCAACACCGTCCGCTGACTTAGACCCATCGGTGAAGACAGAAACGGAGCGGGAGTGAGAAGAAAAGTGCTCGAGGAAAAGGCTTTTAGAACCGTAGGAGGGGTAAAAGCTTTAGTGATACGAGTCAAGGATGTACAAAACCGCGGAAGAGGGACCCTCCACGGGGGCAAAGAAGGAACAACACGAGGAGAAACATCAGAAATACGAACGGAAAGAGAATCCTGCAGGCGAGATAACCGGACAGAAAGAGGGAGGTGGTGAAGAGGAACAGGAACCGCAGGAGGGGTAAAAGTTAAAGCACGACAGAGGCGAGAGGAAGGATGTTGCAAGGACCGCGCAAGATAGCGAAGACAGTAGCGATCACGGCGCTCCTGGAGAGACAGTAAGCCAGTGTCAACATACAAGCTAAGGATGGGAGTCGAACGAAAGGCACCAGAACTGAGGCGCAACCCAGTATGGTGTAAAGCATCAAGACGGCGAAGAGTAGAAGGAGAAGCAGGGCAACCATAATCGAGCTTAGACAGGACGAGAGAGGAATGTAAAGCAAGGAGAGTGCGCCTATCTGCCCCCCAAGAAGTATGGGACAAGACCCGAAGGAGGGTAAGGGCCTTAGAGCACTCAACACGGAGATAAGAGATATGGGGAGACCAAGACAAACGAGTGTCAAGGAATAACCCCAAAAGCTTCGCGGAATCTTTGTATTCAAGGGGATGACCCCTCAAGTGACAAAGAGGGACGAAGAACAACCCGTTTCCACGTAAAAGTCATGGCACAAGTCTTAGAAGCAGAGAACTTGAAGCCATGATCTGTGGCCCAAGACGACACGGCATCAATTGCAAGTTGAAGCCGGCGTTGAAGGAGAGGCGAATCATCACCCTGACAACAAAGGGTAAGATCATCAACATAGAGAGCGGAGAAGACACCAGAAGGAAGAGAGGAAAGAAGACCATTGAGGGCAACCAGAAAAAGAGTAGTGCTCAGAACACTACCCTGGGGCACACCTTCGTATTGCTGAAACGAGGGAGAGAGAGCGGTACCAAGGCGCACCCGAAAGGAACGACGAGAGAGGAAGCTGCGGAGAAAGAGAGGGAGATGACCACGAAGGCCAAAAGAATGAAGTTGAGATAGGATATGATAACGCCAAGTGGTGTCGTAAGCCTTTTCCAGGTCAAAAAGGACGGCAACAACGGAGGTCTTCGCAGCAAAAGCAGTACGAATATAGACCTCCAAGTTCACCAGGACATCTGTCGTGCTGCGGCACTTGCGGAAACCAAATTGAGAAGGGGAGAGGAGGTGATGGTGTTCCAGGAACCACATCAGACGAACGTTAACCATACGTTCAAAGAGTTTGCAGACACAACTTGTGAGAGCAATAGGGCGAAAGTCCTTAGGGGAAGTACCCAGAGACCCCGGTTTGCGAACAGGGAGGACAACGGCATCGAGCCAGCCCTCATGGACTGACGACGACTCCCAGATCCGATTATGCAGACTCAGTAAATACTGAGACGTGCTCGGAGGGAGATGGCGAAGCATCTCATAATGAATACCATCGGAGCCCACCGCAGAGGGCCAGGGCAGAACGAAGTTCAGAGAGAGAGAAGGGATCATTATAGGGAAGCTGAAGATGAGTGCAGAAATCTAAAGGACGAGACTCAAGGACAGGTTTACGAAGAAGGAAAGATTGGGGAAGATGAAGACCAGAGCTAACAGAAGAAAAGTGGGAACCCAGTTCGGAAGCGACCTGCAACGGGTCCGCCACAAGAGTATCATGGAGGTGAAGGACCGATGAAACATCGGGAACGAACTTACCCGCTATCTTGCGGATACGCTTCCAGATCTGGGCCAGAGGGGTTTCGGACGTAATTGTTGAGACATAAGATGCCCAACATTCACGTTTAGCCGTACGGACGGCCCTACGGGCCACCGCACTCGCTTTCCGAAAGAAAAGAAAAGAATCGGTCGTCTGCCTACGGCGGTGCCTCTTCCAGGCTGCACGCTTACAGCGGACAGCCCGAGCACAGTCCGCATTCCACCAGGGAATGCACTTCCGTGGACCCCGGGAGGAAGAGTGAGGAATAGAGCGGAGGGCAGCGTTGAAGACAGTGTCATGAAAAAGGAGGAGAGCGCGAGAGAGAGGCAGAAGGGAGAGGTCAGAGAGAGCAGCACTGAGGGTAAATAGGGTCCAGTCTGCCTTAGCAAACTGCCACCTAGGGAAAGAGAGGGAAGGGCGAAAAGAGAAAAAGGAAACAAGGATGGGGAAATGATCACTTCCATGGAGGTCATCAAGAACCTGCCACGTGAAATCTAAGTAAAGAGAAGAAGAGCAGAGAGAAAGATCAAGACAAGAAAGGGTGTGAGTCCGAGAGTCCAAATGAGTGGGCTCACCAGAATTCAGAAGAGACAGGGAAGAAGAGAGGAGAAACGGCTCAAGGAGGCGACCCCGGGTATTCGTCAGAACGTCACCCCAAAGAGAATGACGACAATTGAAGTCACCCAGCAGGAGCACAGGCTCCGGCAAGGAGTCTAGGAGGTGTTTCAAATCAGGAAGAGAGAGCGGGACACTCGGGGGGGAGATAAATGGAACAAACTGTGTACCATTTCCCCACAAAGATACGAGCAGCAGAACAATGGAGAGGCGAAGGAAATAGCAAAGGAACAAAGGGAACATCAGCACGAATCAAGAGAGCAGAAGAATTAGAAGCCCCAGCAATGGCTGGGGGGGGGAGAGAAAGGAATAGCCACAAAAACGACCAGGACGAGCACCAAGCATTGGCTCCTGGAGACAGACACAAAGGGGCGAAAACCGCGAAATCAGAAGTTGGAGTTCGAGGAAATTGGCGTAATAACCTCGAACGTTCCATTGAAGAATGGACAACGACGAGAAGAGAAAGGACAAAAACAGAGAACAAGGAAGAAACAAAGGCGAAAGAGCAACAGAGCACGTTAAAGAATATCAGGGTCGGGATCAGGGTCAGCAAAGTCAGGGTTAGGGGGCATGGGTAAACTGAGCAAAGACGGAGGGAAGGAAACGGGAGAACAGATCAGAGGAGGGCGGGCGGGGTCCGGAGGAGGAGGAAGAGGAGGAGACAACGGAGAGGAGCAGTCAAGGACAGCAGCAGGAAGAGGGGGAGTAGAAAGAGGGGAGCGCACCCCAGCAAGAGCAGCAACCGAAAGGGAAGCAGGGGCCAAAGAAACCTCCATAGCAGGAACAGGGGGCGTAATCACTGAAACGGGAGGGGAAGGAGCAACAGAGCCAGAAGTAGGAGCTGAGGAAGAAAGCGAAGCCTTCTTACCGCCGGGGAAGAGGAAGGAGAGGAGCCAGGCTTACGCTTCTGACTTAAAGAGACCGGTGTCCCAGCAACTACGTACCGGGCAACGGATTCCAGTGTCTCAACAGGAGAAGCCGAACGAGAGCACACAAAAACCTAGTAACACATCTGGAGAGAAGAGACTTCGTGACAACCCATCAACATGGGTTCAGGGAGGGTAAATCTTGCCTTACAGGCTTGATAGAATTCTATGATCAGGTGACAAAGATTAAGCAAGAAAGAGAAGGATGGGCGGACTGCATTTTTTTGGACTGTCGGAAAGC